GGCTATACATGAGGATTATTGGCATCCAATCATCCCTCATTCTGATGACCAACCCATATATATATATATATATATATATATATTAGCTGATCGCAGCTCGTATCCGAATATGCTTGTCTGCTAGAGTAGCCAACCTATCCCTGTTGGAGATGATTACTCAGGCACATTTTCGTTTATTCAGCACCCATGAAGGATGTGTTCCTATGTTTTATAGACTACGCAAAGGTCTTCGGTAAAGTACGCCACAAGGACCTGATGGAACTGCTCAGCAACCTTGATATATTCGGGAAAGATATCAGAATAATCAAGAACCAATACTGGCAGCAAACTGCATGCATGTGCATAGGGAACAAGTTCAGAGAATATACAAAAATAGAAAGGGGTGTATGGCAAGGATGCATCTTCTCACCGGACCTGTTCAACCTATACAACGAGGCAGTTCTGAGAGAATTGGAAATCCTACCGGGATTTAGCATTGGCGGATGTCATCTGGAGGACCTGTCGAATCCAGCTAGTCGAAGCCTTCTCTCTCTCTCTCTCAGATAAGAGATAAGAGGAAGGTGCCCATACAGACGTTTCTTGGTGTTTCTTCCAGCTGATGCCCAATGCAACTTGTAACATCCTTGTGTATGTTCCGTCAAGTGATGCTTCTTAGTGTTTCATCAATGTCCATGTTGTTGAGCCGTAGAGCAAGACAGATTCTACAGTGGCCTTAAAGAAGTCCGTCTTAAGATTGTCAAAGACGGAAGACTTCCAGATAGTGGTCAGAATTTACCTATTGAACACCTATCTAAATGTTTAATTGATATTTGCAGGTATTTGGATTTAATTTTGTTACGCTTAGTGAATTTATCGCAGACAATTTAGAAAATCAATTTGGAAAATTACGACAGGCTTCTGGCGGCGCATATTTCATAACAGTACAAAATGTTATTGAAAGATTTCGTCCTGAATTTTTTTCTCTCTATTAAATGATGTTAAAGAATGCAACTTTGATCCAAACTATAACTGCTCAAAATGTGAATTTTTGCTGAAGGAAATAGCATGACAAACATTTGACAACAACCAGTCCTTGAATGTATGTCTAAAGATATTTTGTTTGTATTTTGCACGCTATGTTACAAGAAAAGATTGTCCTACAGGTGAAGAAATATTTAATCTGAGAGCAAGAAAACGGAACAGAGGACAACAAGTGTAAATTCAAACAGTCTAGGTACCATAGCGAAGAGTTCATCCAAACAATTACCATGAAAATAATTATGGAAAAGATACAGAGAAGCAACTTTACGGCGATGGGAAAGTGACTGTAGCCGAGCCGAGCCGAGCCGAGCCGAGCCGAGCCGAGCCGTGCCGTGCCAAACCGAGCCAAGCCGACAAATCAGGACCAATAGTATTGCTGATTCTTCTTTGGATTTTTTCAAGGAGCTCAAGGTAAATAGCAGGAGCATCGGACCATATATAACAACAATATTCTAAGCACGGTAGACTTAGATCTATAAGTTTAGATTCTGGAGAGAAAGATTGTCTAGCACGATACAGTGAACCAGTTTTCTTAGCAGCTGACCTAGCAATGAATTCAATATAGTTTTTTCACTTCATTATCAGCTGAAAACGTTAGCCAGAGAAGGCGCAACGAGTCATTTTCCTGGAGGTTAGCATCAGCCATACTGATGGAAAGCAGAGATAGGGTCTCTCAGATGATTAATGTAAAGAAGTTTAGTTTTGTAGGCGTTACAATTCATCTTTTGCCCCGGACTTGAGATCGTTTTGGACAATGGCTGCCATTTTGAATTTTGTCTTATAATTGCATTATGCAATTATATTTTCTGAGGGTAAATGCTAGGAGATAATTCCACACTCTCAACCTCAAAAACAGATTTCTCCACCCCACCCCACCCCAGTACGATATAAATATCACAGCTGCACAAAATACCCGAAAAGTGTTAGTTTACAAGCCACCTGGTCTCCACTCTTGGTCTTTCAAATCAATTGTCCATTTTCTAGAACTTTCTAGAATTTTTCTAGAATTTTCTAGACCTCTTGACAAGCAACGTTAGAGAGCCCATTCTGCCCTAGAGATGAGTGAGAAGGGAGAAGTGGATTCATGCCTACACCAAGAGCATTAGTATAAAACAAATTTAGCCTTAACCAAAATTCTAAATTAGTTCGCTAATTCAATTTTCTGTTTGTAACATGTCCGCAACTCACACAGGAGAATTATGTCTGTGCGTCGTGTATTGATAATAACGTTTCCGGTTCCTTCTAAAATCTATGATAAGATTAAGAACAAATAGAAAACATTTATAAATCTAACATGTTTCGCTTTTGTTAAAGCTTCATCAGAGAATGAGATATGGAAGAGAATTTCTGTCATTTGTATCTTTGTGTTGCTTGATTTTACTTGGTTAAGTAAACTCCATGTATATTTGACTTGTCAAGCAGCGTTCGTGTGTATAATTTATGTGTGTACTTGTATCATAATTCTAGGTAATCTACACGGGATTCAAACATCTAATAGCCTTCATTCTCTCTCTCTCTCTTTCAATCCACACACACACACACACAGATATATATATATATATATATATATATATATATATATATATATACATACAGGGTGATTGAAAAGTAACTATTTTATGTCTTTTGGACTCTCTCGTCTTGTAAAAGATATAGTTAGACGGAAGAGTCCATCATACATGAAATAGAGAGAAATCACCATATATATATATATATATATATATATATATATATATATATATATATATATATATATATATTAGTGGTCATATATTTCAAGAGGATAGAATCCAGGTAGAACTCAATGTCCAGGACAGAGTAAGAATATAATATAAAGTTCAAAACACTAATATTCCATGGTTATAATTTATTACATTGGAATCGTAATCACGATCCAATTCATCAGATGTACACATTAATTTTTTTGAATTTATAGGTCTGATGAATTGATCGTATTTACGATTCCAGTGTAATAAATTATAACCATGGAATATTTGTGTTTATACTTTATATATATATATATATATATATATATATATATATATATATATATATATATATTCTTGTCTGTTCTTATATCATATATCTATCTATCCCAGGTTCTTTATCATCTCTCTTACGTTCATATCACGTCGAAACACTGGTGTTCTTTATGATCACCGAAGTTACGTTCAACGTCAAACCTATTATGATCATCTATATATATATATATATATATATATATATATATATATATATATATATATATATATATATATATATATATATGGTCTTATTCTGCCAATAACGCCAACACTAATTTACAACAGCCGACAAATGCATTTCGACATTAAAATCATTAGCAATGTATTTACTTCATATATGTAATTTAATATTTATATTTTGTCAGCAATATTAATTCTTGACCTCTGACAATCCTTTCGCTTGCATCACTATATATGTAATCATCAGAGTGGATAAACATTTTGACATATTTTTACCATTTTCTACTCGGGTAACGTGGATTATAAACGCATACCCATATTATACATACATACATACATACATATATATATATATATATATATATATATATATATATATATATATATATATGTGTGTGTGTGTGTGTGTGTGTGTGTGTGTGTGTGTGTTTGTGTTGACGTGTCAGTCTTGTTTTTTCACATTTTGAAAGTCCGTCCTGCTCCCTTTCCCACAAAATCAACTCGACCCACAAGTTATGCCTTGTAATTAAACGAAGAGAACGCTCCTCCTTTCAAACTCTCCACCCTTTTTCGACTCTCCCGTTCTTTACTCTATCGTTTTGGGCTCTTCCATCTTCTCTCTACGTCCCTGAAACGTGCGAGACTCCGCCGTGTGCCTTCATTTTTTTTCTCCCCCCCTCCTTTTTTCCTGAGGCAAATAAACAATTCCTTCACCTCTTCTCCCCTCCATACTTTTCCCCCGTTTCCTACAGCCCCCCACCCCCGACGCCGATATAAGAAAATGGATACTTTAGTTGGCGGGAGGAACAGAAACGGCGAGACGAAAGCTCGCATACCATTTGCCCGATCCCTACGGAATCCACGTTTCTTACACCCGAAAATATTCTTATCGTGTCATGTCAAAATAAACCTGCTTTTTGATGCTCTGTTTAATTACAAACTACCTTTCGTTTTTCCCCCACCCTCTGCCTCACCTCAATCTCAATAATCACAGCAGATTAATAACTCGTTGTTGTTAGGTTTGCTTAACCAAACGAAGTCAGACCCGTTGATGGCAGATGAGTGCAAAACATAGAATGCATAGATGCTAGCAAAAGGGACAGCCCAATGTGTGAGTTACCCATGGGGGACGTTAAAATTTAAACAGATGCAGAAATTCAACTCTCTGGTTAGTGGCGTAACAGATAACAGAAAGTGTGATTCTGGGATCTGAATTCTAGGAGAAATAGCGAAAGAGAGTTTTCAGAAACTGAGCAAGGTATTAAATAATTGAAAAATATCTTTAGAAAAGAAGAAGGTGACCGAATTTTATATAATATCTAATCGGCAACATGTTTGTGAATGCTGACGAATTTTGTCACAGATGAAGAAAAGTGACTGAAATATGGTTCTACCAACGAAAGGTTCAGAATAACATATCTATCTGGCACAGAAAAATCCGAAAATGCATTGGAATGGCGAAAGGTGCCTACTAAAAGCTAAGCAAAGTATTAAGAAACGGGAAAGATTAAGAAAAAAAATTTTTTTGTATTAATTACGGTTCATCGATATTTTGCAGGTAAAGCCAGAAATTATTCTTAGATTGTAAGAATTTTGGGGGATAATAATGATTTTACTGTTACAAGTCCTACGAATTAACACATAGCCGGTGGGGAAGAGGTGAGTTCAAGCCTTTCTCAAATGTATTTAAGCGTAAGTGAATATAACGAAACCGAGTGGAACTGGAACTAGGTTCTCTGATTTTCAATAATGGGCCACTATCCCTGAAACCTAAAG